GACGCGGCGGGGGATGCAGCCCAGCAGACGCTTGGCTTTCTGGGCTGCCAGCGCACGTTGCCGGCTCGTGCCCTGTTTGTCCCCCACCAGCGTCCCCCAGTCCTCCCCTGCAGGGCTGCTCTCCATCCATCCCTCCATCCATCCGTCCATCCCTCCATCCCTCCATCCCCCAGTCTGTGCTGGCAGTGGGGCTTGCCCTGACCCGGGTGCAGGACCTTGCCCTCGGCCTTGCTGAACTCCTCCAGCCTGCCTGGGTCCCTGTTTCAGAAGCAGACCCGTTCCTGGCTGATTTTCCCCCAATTTCCTCATGTCTGTGGGCAGCTGCACGTGGGCCAAGACACCTGACACGCTGAGGCTGGGCTACACCGCTGAGCTGCCCGCTGCCCCACTCCCGTGGTGCCTTTCTTCTCCATCCCCTCCATGTTCTGGTTTGTGCCGTGCTGGAAATCTTCCCCCTCGGAACCGCTGCTCCTAGTGCTGGGGAGGCGATCGGGAAGGAAGGGTGGAGGCAACGCTGCTGTTGGCTCTGATAAACACACAAGGGCGGCGCGGTGGAGCGGGGAGCTGCCTTTCCCCGGCTCTGCCCTCGGACCCGGTGCTCTGCTCCCCCTCCAGCTCCGCGTGGTTCAACGACGGCCATTGCCGCTATTCCCTGAAAAGGCTGGGGGTTCTTGGATTCGCGTGGGGTTTTTGCTCTTCCCTGCAAAGGCTGGGGTTCCTTGGTTTCGCGTGGGGCACACCGGGCCGGGGCTGCTCCCTGCCGGCTCTGCTGCACAGGGGGGCACGGTGGCAGCGATGGGGCACAGCGCTGCGCTTTGTGCAGTTCGAGCCCTGTAAATGCCGTGTAAAACCTGAGGTCTTGGTGCTGCCGGGGAGGCGGCGTGGGCCCCAGCTCACGCTCCCCATCCGCTTTTGGTTCCTGCCACCCTAACGTGCACTGGATGCTCTGCCGTCACCGCGGGTGCTCCTGTGGTTAAGCTCAAACCTGGCTTTCGGTTTCTACCTGAGCGCGGTGGGGCTGCGGCACGTGCCTGCCAGAGCAGCGGCGGGTTGTGCACGGGGTGGCGGCTCAGCCCGGGAGGCGAGCGATGGGACGGGCAATGGAATGAGCCGAGAGGCAGCGCGAAAGGGCAATGTGGTCCCTGGCGAGACTCCACAGAGCCTGGACCTGATCCCCCCCTCCTTCTCCCCTCTCAAGGTCAGAATGCTGCAGGGAGCAGTGACACACGGCAGCTGAGCCGTCGTCCGCCCTGGCCTCGCCTGGGCTGGATTCCGTCCCGGCTGGGGCGCGGATGGCAACTGGTGTCAGAGCAGCTGCTCTGCCCGGCAGCTGACCGCAGGGCAGGCCGGCTGCTGGCATAAAACCTCAGCCTCTGCTTGCCGCGGCAGCGTTAATCCTGCGGCGTGCTGCCATCCGCCCGCCCTGGCCCGGTGTAATGGGAGGGCTCCGGCGCAGGATCGCTTCTCGGGATCCGGCTGGCAGGCAGCTCGCGCTGGGAAGGAGCCCAGGCCGTGTCCGCGGGAAGGGGATCGGCTCTTGGGGCGGCCAGCGGAGCCTCCCCCGACGCCGGGGAGCTGCTCAGCCCTCGAAGGACTGCGAGCTGCGAGGGAGAAGGAGGGGGATGAAGTTGTGGGTCCGGTGTCCTCTCCTCTGGTGCAGCTGCAGAGGCTGGGGGCAAGAGGTTCCTCGTCCTCAGGAGAGGTTACGCAGCCGAAACCCCCCGTCCAAGCCCCGGGCTGGTCGCTCAGCAGCTCCCAGGCCCGGTGGAGGATGAGCCGGAGGTGCCTGTTTGGCTGCAGCTGCCTGTCGCCAGCAGCTCCGTGGCCCACCTCCCCGCTCCCACCACCTCCCTGGCCTTCCCTGACATCTCCCTGGGGCAGGGGCTGCTCCCTTGGCCCAACAGCCAGAGCTGGCAGCTCCGGGCACCCGGCGAATCGAAACTGTGTTTTCCTGGATGTTTTCCTGAGGGAACGGAGCCGGAGGTGGCAGGCGGGGGTGCGAGGCCGCAGCTGACGTGGGCGTGTGTCAGGGACAGAGGTTTCTGACTCGGTAGGTGGCCCTAGTTCCTCCCTCGCTTTGATTCCGTCTCCCGGGAGCGTCCTTCCCCCGGGCCATGGGTGCGGAGGACCCCCAGGAGCTGCTCCGGGGTCAGTTTTACCCTCCGGGCTGACGACTCCAAGGGAAAGCTGCCGGCGGGGTGGGGGGCTTTTCATCAGCTTCTCTCTTTCCCCCCCCCATTCCTGTAATCCTGGTGTTGGGACAGGGGACAGTGGGTCGGGGGGGACTTGGCAGGACGTTAAACTCGGACGAAGGGCAAGGAAACCAGCGGTTTCTCTTGAACTTCCTTCCACCCGCCCCGTCCTGTACGGCTCCGCGCGGTGCAGGCAGGCAGGCAGCGCCTGCCTGCTTCCTGCTCGCTGCCTGCTGGGGTGTGGCGGCAGGAGGCTGCACAGAGCCCTTCCCTGCTCCCCAGCTCCTCCCGAGCTGCCATTTTACCAGAAGCGGAATTGAAAGCTCCGATGTGAAGCCAAGACCAGCGTTGGCCGGGGTGGGGGAGCGGGGCTGGGGTGCCCCGGGGACGGCAGGGGCTCTCCTGCGGAGGCTGGTCCCATGCCCCGCGGCCGGCCGGGAGCTGGCAGAGCCTGTCTGCCCGGGGGACATGGGGAAAGCTGAGCCCCGAGGTGCGTGTGCGTGTGGGGAAGGGTTTTCCCAAGGCTTGTAAAAGGGGGAAGGAACTGGCTTCCACCAAGAGCTGGTGTCATGGAGCCTGAGTTGCCTTAGATGCCTCCTGCGCTTTGCTCTTGAGAGAGGGTTCGAGTCAAACATGGGAGAAGCGGCGTGTTTAGTTGGTGTGCACTCGGTGGAGACGGCCGCGCCGGCACAGGGTGGCCAGGGATGGCCTGGCAGGTGCCAGGTTGGTGGCTGCGAGCAGGTCACGGCCCTCGGTGTTCTGCGGTGGCCTCTGGCTGGGGTGGAGGACGCGAGACTGCAGGCAGCGGGGCTTGGAGGCAGCCCTGGGCACGGAGGATCAGCGTTTCAGGCTGGGTTTGTGGCTCGGCGCCCGGGGACGGAGGGTTGCACTTGGTTGGGTGCGTGTTTCTGTCCACACTTGTCTCATGAGGAATGATTGTGGAGGAGAGGGACATCCCATGTCCCCAGGTCCTGGCCCAGACGCCGTGCCGGGGGGTTGCCCCCTTGCCTGGTGCACCGTCCACATGCGGCGCGTCTTCAGCCTGGCTCCGTCATGGCGTGACCCTCTTCGTCCTTCTGCTTCCCCCAGAACGTCGCCGAGTACGACCTCAAGGACATCTCGTACAAGGTGAGGAGCCCCACGTGCCATGAGCTGACGGTCCTTGGCTCCTCAGACGAGCCCATGGTGTTTAACTTCGAGGAGGAGCGGGAGGCGCAGAAGTGGTGGACGATCGTGAGCAGCTCCCTGCGGGAGGTGCAGAAAGGTCAGTGTGGGCAGGCGGCTCCCCGAGGGCAGGCAGGGACCTGGGGCATCTGCCTGCTGCCCAGAGGGGCTGCCGGGCTTTCCCCAGCCCTGGCAGCTGACGGACCCGGCTGGGAGACAAGGCTGGGGCTGATCCTGCTGCAAAATAATTCAGGCGTGCAATACCAGCTGCTCCTGGCTCCCCGAGTGCCAGGGCAGCATCTCAGTCCTGTCCTTCTCCAGGGCGTTAACTCCTGGACACCTGGAGAAGGACGTTGGGAGGGTTCCCGCGTACTTTGGGGCATCCGAGGGGGCGGAGGGGACCCTGGGAGACAGGAGGTGGTGTGGGCAGCGACGTGGGAACAGGAGTGGCTGTCCCAGCCCCACGTGCAGGGAGGGAGCTGCTCGCTTGAAGGGAGAAAAGCAGCACCGGGAGGGTCTGAGGAGGCGGAGGAGCGTGCTGCATCTCCACTGCCTTTACCCCGGCAGTCCTGGGAGTTCAGGGGAGCGGCGGACAAAGGGTTTGCAGAGACTGTGGGCTGTCGCTGAGGCTGCTCTCTGAGCTCTCTCAGCCCTTGGGACGTGGATTAGGGTCACCGTTACCTTTGCCTCAAGCAACCTTGTGTAGCCCAGGGCTTCCCGGTGCGCCTTCTCCCTGAGGTGCGAGCGTGGAGCTCCTCGGGGAGGACAGACAGTGACAGTCACTGCTCGGGGGGTGGCACTGCCCTGCCCTGACGTGTTCCTGCTTTCCCTCAGCCTCAGACAGCATGCTGGCGTCCCAGGCCTCGTCCCTGCCCGCAGCTGCTGGGGGTGTCTCTGCAGATCAGGATCCGGAGGCAGCTCTGACCCTGGAGCTTTCCGAGACAGGTATTTGAGGGGGAAGGTTTTCTGGCTCTTTTCGTATATCAGGAGTTACCAACCCTCCATGGGAGACAGGCTCAGACCCAGATCCAGCTGCTCCCTGGCCTGTGGCTGACAGCAAGTTCTTTTATCATAGGATGATCGAATCATTGAGGTTGGAAAAGACCGTTAAGATCATCAAGTCCAACCGTAAACCCAAACAGCCAAGTCTACCACTAAACCCTGTCCCTCAGCACCACATCCACACGTTTTTTGAACACTTGCAGGGACTGTGATTGCACCACTTCCCTGGGCAGCCTGGGCCAGGGCCTGACAGCCCTTTCGGGGAAGAAGTTTTCCCTAATACCCAACCCAACCCTGCCCTGGCGCAGCTTGAGGCCGTTCCCTCTCGTCCCATCGCTTGTCCCTGGGGAGAAGAGACCGACCCCCCCCGGCTCCAGCCTCCTTTCAGGCAGTTGCAGAGAGCGATGAGGGCTCCCCTCAGCCTCCTCTTCTCCAGGCTGAGCCCCCCCAGCTCCCCCAGCCGCTCCTCCCCAGCCTTGGGCTCCAGCCCCTGCCCCAGCCTCGCTGCCCTGCTCTGGCCACGCTCCAGCCCCTCCATGGCCGCCTTGGGGTGAGGGGCCCAGCGCTGAGCACAGCATTCGAGGGGCGGCCTCCCCAGTGCCCAGCACAGGGGGACGATCCCTGCCCTGCTCCTGCTGGCCACACTGTTCCTGACACAAGCCAGGATGCCGTTGGCCTTCCTGGCCCCCTGTGAAACTCTGGTCCTGTGGGCAGCAGCCTCCCCCGCGGCAGGGCTGGGGGCAGTGTGTCCCAGGAGGTTGCTGTGTGTGGTCGGGTCAGCCGAGCTGTGCAGGGAGGGACAGAACGAAGCTCCCGGTGGCCCCAGAAATTTCCCTCGGTGCTCTCAGCCGCACCTCTCCAGCAGCATGGCTGCTCCTCCTCCGGCCTCAGGAGGCTGTACAGCAAGCGTGCTTCTGAGGAGCCTGGTACGGCTCCTTCAGCACTGTTCCTGTGCTGGACTGAACCAGAATTGCTGTTTCTAGATGTGCAGCTGCAGCACACACGGAGTCAGGCCCCTCTGGGTGCCAGCCTGGCCGGTGCCGGGGGTGGCAGTGGTTGTGCCGTGCCCCAGGGAGGGTGTTTACAGACCGGCTGCCGCTTTACCGTTCTCCCTCTCCGCCCTGCCACAGAGGACCTGGCGCTCCACCTCGCCCAGGCGATCGAGTACGGAGACGAGGAGGTGGCCTCGCAGTGTGCCGTGGCCCTGGCTCGCCAGCAAGCCACACTCAGTATCCTCTTGAAGGAGTCCAACTACCCCACGGACGATATCAGGTGAGCACCTCCGACCGGCGCGTCCTTGGAGCCGACGTGAGCACACGTCCTGCTCCTCTGCATCCCCGCTCGGGCCCACGGGAGCACAACCGGCCTCGGATGGAGCCCTGGGTCCCGTGCCGGGGCTCTGCGCTCCTCTGCAGGCAGCTGCCAGGAGCCTGGGGCGTCCTGCCTGCCCAGCCAGCACCTCCTCCCCTGCAGCTCTGCCCTTCTGCTGGATGTTTGGGTTGCTCGCCCTGTGTCCCTGGGCTGTGTTGCCCTTGGGTCTGTCTTTTTTGATGTGGTTTTGCCTGTAGCGGTGACAGTCTGGGACGCTTGCATGTCTGTCAGGGGCCGGCAGAGCCAGAACAGCCTCCTGCAGCCCCTGGAGCAGAGCTGCTCCATGAATTCCTCTGCCGTCAGCTGGGATCGGTCCTGGCAGGAGAGGGAAGTGGGCAGCTGGTGCTGGGGAAGCCACAACTTTCCTGGAGGAATGTGGTATCCTGGGATTTGTACTTCTTCCCTAGCTCCCGGGAGGGAGGAGATGGGGGATACAGGAGCGGGATACTGGGTGCTGCCGGAACAGCCAGGAATCCAGAGGGGCAGCCCGTCTGGGCAGCAGCTGGCATAGCAGGGAGCTGGTCCTGTGGGGTCTGCAGGCTCTGCTGGAACACAGCCGTGCCCCTCTGCGGTGTGAAGGGCCCGTCACTGGCTGCTGGGTCAGCTTTCCCTGGCCGGGGGACCTGGGGACACCCCTCTGGCAGCCTCCCTCGGTCCCCGCTCCCGTCTGCCTGGGGAACCGCTCCAAAGAGCGCTGCCACGTGCGGCGCAGGTTTGTAAAAGGCCTGCAGGAAGATTCAAACGTCGATTCCATCTCAAGGCGGCGGTAGCCGGGACGAGGCTGAGGAGATCCGTGGGTAAACGTCAGTAATGGGGAGGAGTTGTGTCTCCCAGCTCCGAGTGCCTTGGAGGGGGTCAGTGAGCCGGAGGGCAGGGCAGCCTGGCCGGTGTGCTGTGCCAGGAATGC